CGAAGCATGTCTATTGTTTCACAACGACTGTCCCAGGGGATTTTCGTCTTCTCAATTTCTCAAGATAAACGTCCTAAGGTTGTTTTGTTTACTAGAAGGACATGTCTTTTGGCAGCATTTCTTGTATTAATTTCCATTGCACAAAAAAGTAGCAAATACTGTTACTGAAGCACTGAATTTGCATGATTTGTTTCTCTCCGGCCATTCACGCAAACTGCAAACGAAGTCTTTTACCTCATCCATAGTTGTTGACACAACCGCCTTGATGGATGTATTGTGACGTGTTTTGACCCCGGATTTTGACCTTGCATTCTGGCTACATTTACTGCCCTTTCATACCACTTCAGTTTCCTTTCATTATTTCATCCAGATTCCACGATATTTAATATTTAAAACCAACCTTCATTTCACAGTCACTCTAGTTTTTACTTTTCTAAAATTATTTTACTGATCAAAAGACTTTGCACTCCCATCATGCAATCCCCCATAGTACTTCCGGAAACACAGAGGCAATCGCCAGCATATCTACAAATAACCTCGCTCTCAGGAGCTGAGGAATAATTAGTCTTTGCTCTTATCACTAACATCTAGTCACTGACTGTCTTTAATAATACTGCGTTCTATTGATACCATCGAGGTCGTTAGCCGTAACATGGTTTCTGGGCGTGACTTGTGACCACGTGACGTAATGGAAAGGTCACAACGAACTTGGAAGCTGATATGTTGACCAATCGGAACGCATCCCGTGGGCAGCGCGCCTGAAATTTTTCAGCCGAAAGACTTTTTATTATTTTATAATAACATTAAACTTTCATTGAATTATAATACCATCTTTAAAGTTTGTATTACAATAACGTCTGAACAATAACAGTTTATTTTGGGGTCAGTGGGTCTAGAGATACGTTTAGCCTGAGGTGCGCTCTGCACGACAAAACCTGTTGACTGCAACTTTAAAAAAAGACTTTTCCTTTAACAGAGTCGCAGTCACCAAACACGTTTAGCCAACTATATATAACAATCACACCCCATGTATCTGTAACATTTCAATCCATCAAGGGAACATTGTCGCTAGATATTTTACAGACTTCAATAACGTGCAGTACGCAATATAACCAGTTCATTACGGATGCGGTATAGTTATCATGCTCTAAAAAGTAAGAACTGTTTTCATGAGGAAAAGTGTTTTGAAGCGTAGCAAATTATAAATTTTCTTGAAGCCCTTGTTCCTGGCTTTTTGAAAAAAAAATGATCTGCGATATACCACGAATTAGTCACGTGACTAGCTGAAAAATCAAGGCAGCATCAGCCCCGTCAATGCCTCGAGAGTGTTAGAACGTAGATTGCATATTTGTTTACAATGACATCAATTTACATTTTTCCTGTTATTTCACCTATAGACAAAAGCCTTTTATTTTTCATTGCGAGAAGTTATCAAAAAATGCTTCAAGGGTTTTATTCTGCGCCAATACGTTATCAATGTGTGTGAATTTCGTGAAAGTAGGCCAATTTCTGACGACGCACAACTCACTTGAATGACCTCTATGGCGTCAGATTTCTTCTGCCTGAAAACGCCAAAAAACAAAACATTTGTCACGTTGCGCTAATTTTTGACATTTAAAGCATCAGATGGACTGATTTTTACAACAAAACACATAACATGGAGCCACTTAGTAGCCTTGCAGTATTAAAATCCAAAACTATAAAGTTTTGGGCCCGTATTTGTCCTCCAAAAAGTAACGAAGTTGTTACAGTACACAGCGGCCCCGCATAACGTTGAACAGTTAGAGAGATAAATGACGTCATCTCACTATATGTTCAAATCATGTTTACATGCGAAGCGTGGTCTGTAAAACAAACGCTTGCCTAGTAACTATAAAGTATCACCTTATTACAACCTTGTCGGTTCTACGCATGTAGACAAAATTAAAAAAGTTGCATTCCGACTTTTCATCTGTGTGCGGCACCATCCTTTGGCCTACCTCAGACAACCCAGGGGCCAACGTATCCACTGCCAACTATTGAGAATGCGGATAGATAATGAGAAATTGTGTACATTTTTAACAAGTTTCCTCCCGTGCGTAAACACCATTGGGTCTATCCGATACTGTAGAATACTTTATTTTAGCTGGAATTAATTTTCGCTTTTGGGTGTTTTGTATGGAATTTATTTTCACTGTTTTTTAACAAGTTGAATGTGAAATACAGGAAAAAAGGTATATTCGCTAGATTTTATTTCACTGAATCATTCCATCAGCGAAAATAGCGAACATTTAATTCCAAGCGATTCCAAGCACGTATTTTACAGTATGCAAACATACGAGATTAGCTTGAATCTCAGTTATTAAACCAAATATAAATCAGTTAGTATAAACAAGCTCGTACAGCAAATACTCCTAAGTCCTGTATTTGCTCATTTTTACTGACCTTCTGTAATATCTATTTATTAACCACGATGGTGTGTATATGCGATAAAACGTTGTTTACTTTATTCTAGGTCGTCGGTGAGGGCGCTCAACAACACGTTGTATATGTTGTGAAAGTGACAGCTCCAAAAGAACGCCTCCCACACGATTGGTTGTCATGTTCTGTCGTCAGTATGTGTTGCTTTCTGCCCCTCGGGTTAGTTGCAGTTGCGTACTCCGTTAAGGTAACGTGACAATAACATAGTTAAACTAATATAGCCTTTGCTACAATTTACATTAATTTCAATCACAGGATTAGGTCAAAATATATTTCAAATTCATGACGTGTTGTACTATCGGGATAAGTTGTAGAAATGGTATCAATAACTTTAAATTTGACGGGAAGACCGACTTTTGTAGACAGAAATGTACATTTTACAATAGGACAATCTTTATAAAGGTGTTTGCAGGAAGCAAGAAGCTGCTAGAACGCATGGTGTAGTGAAACATACCAGCGGTCTGGTATATTGTATTTCATTGGAGCAGACGATCAAGTTGTTGCGGAACAACATGTCATTTTTTAAATATATATTCACTTATAGAGAAGCTTGGTATATCGTCTTGGGCAATTTAAAACTAGTGTCAGCTAAATCGTTTTTTTTTTTATTGATTATGACATTATTTGTAAAATTTGACTATATCATAGTAAATGGTTTATACCTTTTTCTCTTCACAGATACAAGAGGCGTGTCGAAAGGGTGACATAAAAACAGCAAAAGCAGCAGTTCGCATGGTGAAACGCCTACTACTTGGGGCATTATTATGCGGCATTTTTATCACGTTTATAATAGCTACAATAATATACAAGAGAGCATTAGCATAAACATTTTTGGACAACACAGATTGTGACCTAGAAGTGCCTTACGAGGCTATATATGACGTCATCACCTGCTTTTAATTGGGTTTTAGTTTATCACTGCATCAGTGTCAATATATGATCTCATGAATATTGTAATTTGCAACGAGGTTCGCTGTGATTGGGGCTGAGATATGACGTAGAACATCACACAGAACATCAGACCTTATTTGGGCATCAACATCTATACGTGAAATGTATCAGACATTCATTAAAGTTGGGTAGTTACGCTGCATTTGCAGGGCTTGGTTATCATGGTAGCAATGGATTTGCTACATCAGGATCTGCCAGCACTGATGTTGATCACCTATGGCCAGATTGCTTTACAAGGGTTGGTTTGTAATTTCGATTTTATTAACAGTATAACTTATAGTGCGCCACCTACCGACATTACTTAACTCAACTTTTTTAAAGTCCTTCCGTTTTCAGTTGTATCGTGAAAGTTTGTAGTGCACCTTTTGCTTGTCACGTGACAACATATCGTATTGATATTGGATAATCACAAACTCTTTATGTACATGACGACTTTTACTCAAGATGTAAAGAACACAAACACAATGTTTTAAATTGCAATGTATCGAGCAGTACTCTTCAGGGAAAATTATATGACCTGAATTATAGGTATATAATCCTATGCCGCCATCTTTTAAATAGGAACATTGCATTAATAATTCACTTTTTGCGCCGAGATGAACGCACAGTCGCTAAGCCTAACTATCAAATATGTCGCGTGGATTGGTCGCTTGGGCTACGGTTAGCTGGCGGCCGATATTTACTATATAGGGGTAGCCATTTTTATCACGACTTGAAGCTAAATAAAGAGACAAGTTGAGAAATTGTTTTTTCGGATTCCTGCAATTCAGAAAAAAATACAAATTAGTCAAATGATTCGTTTGGGCAACATTAATTCGGCTGATTTACAAGAAGATTATTTTCCCTGGGTATTTGAAACCGAAATCGTACGGCCTCCGCTGATTGGCTCCTTAGTTGGGTGAGTATTTTGCTTTCAAACCTCCCGGAAAGTGTTCTAGGTTCTTTGTAGTATGCAAGAGATTTATCAACATAAAAACGACGAATTTTGTAAGTAGTTGGCCTAACCCTGTCTAAACGAGTCACTTGGCTGTGAAAGTTTGGTATTTTTCCTGATATGTAAGAATCTAAAAAACTCGGAATTGACCGTCGCCCAAAGAGAGGGTTGGGTTGAATAATCATGTTTTGAAATTAACAAGGGTAATGTTTTCCTATTTCACAAGAGCAAGAGTATATTTTGTGTATCACGAGTGTGTTTTATCTTATCGGGTTGTTGGACTTGTATGCAACACTCATTCTAAGAAATAATAAACGTTAGTAAAACTACTATTTTTAAGTTGAAGAGAAACAATTTACAAAACTTGTGAAATATGTCAAATCTGACCATGATGTGTATTTTGTTTAACAAAAAGGACAGTTCTCATCTACAATTCAATTTTCTTCAATTATGTGTAATAAAATGACAAAGCCTTTCTTTCTCGACTGTCACGGTCTTTTATATTGCTCTTATTCCGTGTATGTGGATAGTATTGCAGCCTTTATTACAAAATACTCCACTCATTTCAGCAAATCGAACGCAAGTTGGCTTCAAGAAATGCATGTATACGCGTGTATATGTTAACCAGTGCTTAGCGACCGTAGAAATGGTGAAATAATATTGTGATCGTTTCCAGTACGTGCTGACTGGAAACATGTGTCTGTAGATAGCATATATTGTACACTTCATCATCGCCAGCCAAGGTTTGTTTATTCGGCCATTGTCTCTACAACTGTAGTGTCTTTATAGAGCTCGCGAAACCATGACGCTATTCGGAAGATGTGTACATTCATTGACTATCATCGTTTCAATTTATAATCTCCTATACATATACATTTTTAATTGATAAATAAATATTAGCTTAGCCTTCTTGAAAAGAAATCCTTGGTGATCAACAACAAAATCCTGGGCCACTAAAACAAAACTGTTATTATTATGGGTAATTGACTATAATGATTTTATAACCATATTGTTACAATGGTCATCTGTGATCATGGCTAGATGCTTTCCAGTTTAGTGGTATTCGGGGAATTGGCCTTATTCGGGGAACATCTTCGCCATCCAAGTTTCATTCATTCGGTCGTAGAAACTGGATGACCGGCTTTGAAACCATGTGAACCGCACAATGGGGGAACTCACGAAGCAGCGAAGGCAGTGTCGTTGACGTATTCCCATTCAAAATAGACTCGCATAGTCAGGAAACTACCGTTAATTCATGATCAACGTTAATTTAAAACTAACAAAAGAGTTTCTTTTTTATTTTAGCCGCAGATCATGTATTATTCCTTAATCCGTAAACTCAACTCTAACCATAGACCTTTTCTAAGGTCTATGCTCTAACATTATCCCTTATAACAGTTACATGTAAATGTAGTTCTTTTACGCTCCACGTGCTGACAAAACAGTCAAAGTTACGAAAAGACGAGAGTTGCACCTCAGATAACCAATCTGAGGTTGATCCTAGGTAACATACAAATGTGAAAATTGTATGTTATAAAATTACAATGCAGTGTCTGATCTGGACTTGCAGTATTGACAAATTTAAAGCGTACTGGGTTCAAAGGTTATTGACGTCATCAGGGTATATACGGTGAACATAAAAATCAAGTAAGACGGCGATACTGAAAAATGCTACAAAATATCAGGAGTACACAAATGAATATACTTTCCACGTAACATCGTTTACAATACCATTACTTAAACATATCTGGGTTTTTTACATTCAAACTTGTAGCGAAGATGTCAAATCGCCCACTCACAATGATTTCGCATCAAATATCCATCCCGCATCGCGGACGTATATATTTATTAATATTGTTGTTCTATACGCCCTACTGTCAACAAAATCGAATTATTATTTATTATCATCATCATGAACGAAAATGTTGCGTGTGCAGGACACTCAACAGTGTTCATCGTTAGATGTAAACTCAATACGCACGTGGATGGAGTGATTGTAATTGTAGGTACGAAAACAACCCAATATAAACAGGCTTACGAGTAACAATATATATATAGATGGTGCTCTATGTGATGTATATTGACATGAAATTTCGTCTC